TGTTCTTTTTCTTTTTCTTTTTTTTTTTTTTTTTTTAAAGGGGCAGTCCTGTTGCCAGAATGGCTGCAGAGGGCCCTTGCTGACAGAGTGAAGGGCCTCCACTTACAATCAGGGCTGTGCCTACCACTTCCACCCACTGGCTCCTGGCCTACCTTTGCCATCTCTAGCTAATTTCAATGGCCAAGTGAATACTTGTGGGCATCCTCAATGCATTCTTCCTTTCTCCCTCCCTCTCTCTCTTTTTCTTTCTTTTTAAATAATAGCAATTGTTGAGATATAATATACAGATCATCTACTTTACCCATCCAGAGCATTCTTTGCCCAAAATCTAAATATCTTTACTGTTTAGGCTGATCAGAAAAATAACTCTTACAGTTTGAAAGATTCAAATAATAATGAAATGTATAAATCTGAAAGTAAAATGTCTGTCATCCTGAACTCCTGTTAATGATTTGGAATACATCTTTTCAAACTGTTTAAATATGTTAGGTATATATTTACATAAATGGGATTGTGCCACATACAATAATTTGTAATGTGCTTTTTTCCCCTCCCACTTGCTACATCTTACAGTGCTTTCCATTTAAGTAAGTATATATACCTTTAAATCAGTCACTTTACAACTGCAGAGTTTTACATAGTGTAGATTTACCATAATTTCCTTAACTAATTCCTAGTTGATGGCTCCTTAGGTTGTTTGTAGTTTTGGGACTCAACCTACTGTGTGCTAGGCCTTCTGGGTGCTGAGCATTTTGTATATAATTCCATTTGGTCCTTACAATAACCCTGGAATATTCCCATTTTACAGTGAGAGAAATTGAGGTTAAAAGAGGCCAAGTGACTTGCCTTCTTGAAGAAGACAGAGTCATTAAAGGGTAGAGACACTTACATATTGCTTCGAATGTTCTTGTACAGACAACGTTGCGTGTATGACAAATTATGTCTTAGAAACAATTTCTAAGGCAGAAATTGTAGTCATTGGAGCCTTCATACCCTGAATCACGGTTGTGCTTCCACCAGTCATGAATGGTACTCTTTTTTTATCCTCCCAAGGAGCATTTTAGAGCCTGGGCTCATTGTACAGGCTGGCAGGCAGCCCAGCTACTCTGGTCCTAAGCACCCTGGTGCCCCTTCCTCTCCCCTTCTCCCACAGAGGGCTCCACGGGGAAGACATGCCTGATGAAGGCTGTCCTGAATCTTCGAGATGGGGTCAATGCCTGCATCCTGCCGCTGCTGCAGATTGACCGGGAGTCTGGCAATCCTCAGTCCCTGGTCAACGCCCAGTGCACAGATGAGCACTACCGAGGTCATAGTGCCCTGCACATCGCCATTGAGAAGAGGAGCCTGCAGTGTGTGAGGCTCCTGGTGGAGAATGGTGCCGACGTGCACGCCCGGGCCTGTGGCCGCTTCTTCCAGAAGAAAAACCAAGGGACTTGTTTCTATTTTGGTGAGCAGTCTTTCTTGGTTAAATTGAGGCACAGAGGGGGTGGGTTTCACATAGTTATTGGGTGGTAGAGCTGGCCGGCCCTTAAAACCAGGTCTGACTCATCCTGAGACCCATGCTTCTAAATACTAGGCTGCCTGCAAAAGCAGTTTGTCTTAAGAGATGTTTATCCTTGTCTGTCTAAGGAGGCTCACCACACACCCAAACCTGGACTAAGGCTGGGGAATGGCTGCTAGAAGCACTGTGTGACAACACTTGACCAGACAAGGCTGGGCTAAAGGGTGTCTATGTCAGACAGCAGTGGGCCTGGGCTCTGCTGAAGAGAAGAGAAAGAGGCAGGGGAGATGGGGACTCTAGTGGCTGCCCCCTGTTCTGTTCCCTTGCATGTTAAAGAGCTTTGGTCTCCTTTCCCTTGTGTCAGAACCAACAGAGCTGCCTTTACCAGCACTCATAGGAGAAGGCACAGCTGCCCTAAATGGGGCCCCAGACCATGAGGCATTGCTCCATCTTTTCCCATAAGTGCCTGACCAGCTTCAAGGAGGCATGGTCTTCTGTCTAAGGAGTGTGAGGAGTAGGCAGTTGGAAGCTGGGAGGCCTGAGGCCCTAGCTGCCTCCTTGGCCCCCAGGCGAGCTGCCCCTCTCTCTGGCGGCATGCACCAAGCAGTGGGATGTGGTGACTTACCTCCTGGAGAACCCAAACCAGCCAGCCAGCCTGCAGGCCACCGACTCACTGGGCAACACAGTCCTGCATGCCTTGGTGATGATCGCAGACAACTCGGCTGAGAATAGTGCACTGGTGATCCGCATGTACGATGGGCTCCTCCAAGTTGGGGCCCGCCTCTGCCCCACCGTGCAGCTTGAGGACATCCGCAACCGGCAGGGCCTCACACCTCTGAAGCTGGCTGCCAAGGAAGGCAAAATTGAGGTGAGTGGCTGGCCTCCTCCCCCTTCCCACCTTTCTGGGAAGCAGCGAGACTCACCCTGAGTTTTCTGCAGAAAGAGCCTGGGGTGGTGGTCTATATCAGTGATCTCCCCACTATCCAACTGAACACTCTTATTATATTAGTAAGGACATTTTCAGCATGCATATGTGTGTTTATTGATAAACTATATCTGAACTACTGAACTAATATATTACATTATAAAACACAGGGATTCTTAAAAAAGTCATTTGGGTTTCTTGGTTAGGAGACAGTCTTTTCATATCATTGCCTATTCTATTAGATTTGCTATTAAGTTTTCTTCATCTCGCTTGGTAAGTTTTCTTTATAATGAACATATTAGCACTTTGTTTACTATAACAATTGTAAATTTTTCTCCCAGTTCAACAATAAAACATTTTTTTGGTATTTTTTGCCACCCAGAATTGTTACATTTTTACGTATACAAGTGTAATGATCTTTTCCTTTAGGGTTCCTTGGTTTTGGTATTGTTTAATCCTTCTATAAAGTTATATATCTATAACCTTGTAAGTATGTGTGTGTGTGTGTGTGTGTGTATTCCATATCCATATTTTCTTCCAGACTTTTGTAATTTCATTTTTAATTCTTAAAATTTTGATTTATCTGGAAGTCATTTTGGTATAAAGAGTAAACATGATGCAGCTCTACTTTTTTCCGAATGGCTTTACCAGTTGTCTGATCCTTACTCTCAGGGCTGGCTTCATGGGTATATAACCGTGCCGTTAACACAGGGCCTTATGCTTAGAACACAGGCATTTTTAAATGCTAAGATAAAAATAAACGTAAGTAGAAGCTTTGCTATTTTATTCCTGCCCTCCAAGTTTCCTGGGATGTGAGAATCTCTTTGTTGTCTGGCAGTGTGGCTGTGTGGTCTATGGAAGCCGCTCCCCAATGTGGCCCTTCCATCCCCCCCGTTCCTCATCTGTGAAACCAAATTACTTCTTAACTTGTTCAGGTTACTGATCCTTTCTGGTCTATTGAAAGCTCAGGACTCTGACTACCAAAAGGCAAACACATGGGTAGCTTGTAGCCTCTGATCTCAAGGGGCTTTAAGGACCTCTGGGCTGGAGGTCCCTCGGTCGTGCGAGGAGTCCATGAAAGAGGCCAAGGGGCAGGAGTGGGGAAGGAAGAGCCAGGCTGGCTGGCAGGCCTGGGCATATGTGGGTGGGTGGGAATGTTTACAATGTGGCTGAGCATGTGTGGACATATGTAAGACTTTATACACGCAACGACCCATGTGTACAGGGCATGTGCATATGTCTATCGCAGCTCTGCACACAGTAGGCAGCTCTGCAGGGTACCGAGTGTTTCCCAGACTCCAAGTCAGTGCAGGGAGGTGGCCAAGCAGGCCAAGATCACATGGCCCACCCTGCAGATTTTCAGACACATCCTGCAAAGGGAGTTCTCGGGACCGTGCCAGCCCCTTTCCCGCAAGTTCACTGAATGGTGCTACGGGCCTGTCCGGGTGTCGCTGTATGACCTGGCTTCTGTGGACAGCTGGGAGGAGAACTCGGTGTTGGAGATCATTGCCTTTCATTGCAGAAGCCCGGTGAGCCTACCAAAGTCGGGGTGTGCATAGGGGGCCTGGCAGAACTCCCTTCTGTTTGCTAGGCCACACTTGCCCTATTCCTGTGCCAGTGGAGGTGTGGCTACACATCCTGACCCTGGCTGTTGGACCCATGCTCATTCCACACTCCAGTCCCACTTGACGCGGAGGTCATACCAGGGTCCTGGTGGCTACCACTGAGGGCTCTCGTTGACCAGCATCTGTTCTGGACTGGAAGGAGAGGCCCTCCGTCACTACCTAGCCATGAGGATGGGATGGAGGCAGGCGGGGGTGGGAGGTGTTCACTCGGGGCTCCCCATTCTCTCCCCTCCATTCCCTCAGCCCTTGCACTGAGCCCGGCAGGAGTGGGCTTCTTGTGCATACCTGCTGAATGTACCCTGGCTCTCACATTCCCACCTCAGCACCGACACCGAATGGTGGTTTTGGAGCCGCTGAACAAACTGCTGGAGGCGAAATGGGACCTGCTCATCCCCAGATTCTTCTTCAACTTCTTGTGTTACTTGATCTACATGTTCATCTTCACCACTGTTGCCTACCACCAGCCTGCCCTGGAGAAGGCAAGGCTGGGGTGGGGCACATCTTGGGGAGGATTCCTAGAAATAGCCCTCAGATTACCACCTGCACCCTGCAAATGCTAACATGAGGATTTGACTGCTTCAGTGATATGCACAAGCTCTCACCCAGCTGGTGATAGTGTGGACACTGGCGCCACAGGAAGAGCAACAGCACAGTTAACACTTACTGTGTACCATATGTGAGAAAGTATTCTAAGTGATTGACATGTGTTAACTTATTTAATTCATGTTCACAACAACCCTCTGAGATGATGAACTATTACCATCCCCAGTTTATGGTTGAGAGAAAGGAGGCACAGGGAGGTTAAGTAACTTATCCATAGTCACACGCTGAAAGTTGTGGAGATGGGAACTGAACATAGACAGTCTGGCTTCCAACCCCATGCTCATAACTGCTACATACTGTGCCTCTTGATAGACTAGAATCCAGGAGTCCTACCCTGGAACCCATGTTCCCTCTGTTGCTCTGAGTGGCTGGCCTCTCCCTAGTTCAGGCTCAGAAAGAGCCCTTGGCTCTGGCTCTCAGAGAGCGGGTTCTTGGGAGGGGACCCTAGGTCCTACCAAGGCATCTCTTCACAGGCCTTCCTCCCCATGAAAGTGACAGCCGGAAACTCCATGCTGCTGCTGGGCCACATACTGATCCTGCTTGGGGGGTTCTACCTCCTCGTGGGCCAGGTGAGAACTCATCCCATTTCCTTACTCAGTGTGGCTCCCGGCCCACCCAGGAGCAAACCTGCAACTCTGCTACCAGGAGCCTTAGAGAGAGTTAACCATAGTCCCTTCATTTATGGGGAAACTGAATCCCATAGTTGGTCCCACCCTGACCTGCCTCCTGGCAGTTGAAGGCCTTGCTATGGGTATCCTCCATGTTCTGCTTTCTAGGGTGCTCATAGGGTAGCATTTGGTTTCTATGATTCTTTGTCAGTGCTGGCTTTGCTCTTCAGGTCCTTGGGTTAGGGCATTCCTCACTTGGGGAGCAGAGAAGGGTGGGGGCAGGCAGGACTCAGTGCAGCTCCCGCAGCAGGACCTCTTCAGTTGAAAATGTTGCAAGCTTGCAGGAGGGCACTGAAATTCTCTCAGAGGGGGCAGAACCTGGGTGCAAGATCCAGACTGGCTGGAGAATAGAGTGATCCCTGGGAGGCCAGGGAGAGGGAGGGAAAGGAGCTCTCCCCTTCACCACATGTAGTACATGAGTTCTTCATCTGGATCCACAAGGAGCCAGGAGGGCCCTGGCATTACCTGGGTGTCTGGGTAGCTGCCCTTTTTGGAAACAGGGTCTAAATCTTTCTTAGCTATCAGCAAAATTAATGAGCCCTTCCAGAAAATCAAAGCTGCTGGCCAAGCCCCTGACAGGCTACCACATAGCTAGCAGGAGGGAGCACGGTGGGAGCCTGGGTCCCTGCCCTGAGGGGCAGTATGGCTGTGTTGTGGCTTGGAGAATGAATTTCACTCCTCTGTCCCCCTTCCTCCTCATAGCTATGGTACTTCTGGAGGCGTCGTCTGTTCATCTGGATCTCATTCGTGGACAGCTACTTTGAAATCCTCTTGTATGTTGGCCCTCACCCCTTCTCGTTCATCTCAGGCCTGGGAGAGGCGTGTGTGGCAGTGGGCACCAGGCAGGCTTTAGAGGGGTGGACCAGGGCCAGGGAGCTCCAGGGTATTGGGACCAGAGCACAGGCCAGACTCAGGAGTCCAGCTGTTCAGCTTGAGCCTCTCTGTGCTCCAATTCTTGTAGAACATTTACTGAGCCCTTGCTAGGCACCAGTGGAGCCTGAACTCTTTACATGTCTAGTCTCATTGAATCCTCACAAATGCTCAGGCATGATTATCGTTACCCCCATATTACAGGGGAGGAAACTGAGGCCCACAGGGGTTAAATAACTTGCCTGGGATGGAGGTCAGGACCTGACTGGGTCCAGCTCCAGACAGATGGGAAACTTCTCATCCATCCAACTGCCATGAGAGAGGCAGTGGTGATCAGTTCTGGCCAGTGGGGGCCCAGGGGGCCTTGCTGAGTGGCCTGCAAACTGACCTGGACCCTGTCCCCTCGCAGCCTGGTCCAGGCACTGCTCACGGTGCTGTCTCAGGTGCTGTGTTTCCTGGCCATCGAGTGGTACCTGCCCCTGCTTGTGTCCTCACTGGTTTTGGGCTGGCTGAATCTGCTTTACTATACACGTGGCTTCCAACACACAGGCATCTACAGCGTCATGATCCAGAAGGTGAGGTGCAGGGGTGGCCCCATTGCAGCAAGACTGGGCAGGGCTGGACATCACACTCCAGTGGGACTCCTTTTGGCCTTACCAGGAAGGCACCCTCTTCCACAGCTAATCCGGGCATAGGAAAACATGAGCCAGAACAAGGTTGGAGTGCTTGAGACAGAGCAAGGAGGCTGGGGAGAGTGAGGGAGATGGAGGGAGAGGAAGTTGGCCATAAGGAGGGGTCTGGAGGCCCAGGAAGTTTTAAAAAATTTTTAAAATTGTGGTAAAATAAGTATAACAAAATTTATCATTTTAACTATTTTAAAGTGTACATTCACATTGTCGTGCCCCCATCCCCACCATCCATCTGCAGAACATTTTCATCGTCCCAAACTGAAACTCTGTATCCATTCAACACTAACTCCCCATTTCCTTCCCCTACCCCCAGCCCCAAGCAACCACCATTTTACTTCCTGTCTCTACAAATTTGATTACTCTAAGTATCTTATAAAAATGGAATCATATAGTATTTGTGCTTTTGTTACTGGCTTATTTCACTTAGGATAATGTTCTTAAGTTCCATCCATGTTATAACATGTGTCAGAATTTCCTTCCTTTTTTAAGTCTGAATAATATTCCATTGTATGCTTATACCACATTTTGTTTACTCCTTCATATCTATCCAAGGACATTTGAATCGTTTCCACCTTTTGGCTATTGTGAATAATGCTGCATGATCATGGGTATACAAATATCTGTTTGAGTTCCTGCTTCTGAATCTTTTGGATATATACCCAGACCTGGAATTGCTGGATCATATGATAACTCTGTGTTTAATTTTTTGATCCTGGAGGGTTATAAGCAGGAAAATGATGTGATCTGATGTAGCGTTTTTAAAAGACCCATCGGCTCAGTATAGCTCCATAGGGCTCTGTGTACGTACACTGTGTGTGTGTGTGTGTGTGTGTGTGTGTGTGTGTGTGGTGTGGTGTGTACATGAGAACCCATGATCAGGGACATGGCAGGGGCCTGGGGTTATGTCTGGTAGCCCAGCCACCCACCCCAGCTCCTGGGTGTGTGTGTTCCAGGTCATCCTGCGGGACCTCCTCCGCTTCCTTCTGGTCTACTTAGTCTTCCTTTTCGGCTTCGCTGTAGGTAAAGGCCCCCCTCTAGCCCCTGCCCATGCCTTGCCTGCCCTGTATACCCTCAAATCTGCCTGCTGGTCTCCTCAGGCTGAGGGCCCCCTTCTACCCTCTTGCAGCCCTGGTGAGCCTGAGCCGGGAGGCCCGGGGCTCTGGGGTCCCCACAAACCCGAATGCCACGGAGACAGTGCAGCCTGGAGCAGGACGAGAGGACGAGGAAGGCAGCTCGGCTCCATACAGTGGCATCCTGGAGGCCTCCTTGGAGCTCTTCAAATTCACCATCGGCATGGGCGAGCTGGCCTTCCAGGACCAACTGCGCTTTCGTGGGGTGGTGCTGTTGCTGCTGCTGGCCTACGTGCTTCTCACCTACATCCTTCTGCTCAACATGCTCATTGCCCTCATGAGTGAGACCGTCAACAGCGTTGCCACTGACAGCTGGAGCATCTGGAAGCTGCAGGTGCCCCAGGAGGCTCCCCTTCCCCTCCTCAAATTCTGGGCCCAATGAGGAGAGGGCAAGACCCAGCTGAGCTGGTCCCCCAGAGCTGGTCCAGGGCCCTTGGTGGCCTCGCCCTTGTCAGGGTCTCCATCATCGATTCCTTCCTTCATAGGCTTGCTTGAGGGTTGAATAAACTCATAGATCTAATGCTGTTAGGACAGTGCCTGGAACACAGAAGGTGTACGATATGTTAGTTATCATCATCATCATCATTATTATTAAGTATTTCTTGAGCTTGATATGGGGTTGGACACAGTTCTAGATTCTAAACACACAGCAGAGAATAAGACGAAGTCTGCCCTCATGTAGCTCCCATTCCTTGTTTATCATATGTTTAATGGAATCAGTTTGGTGGGTGAGGCAGGAAGGCTGTACAATCCTGGGGCTGGTCCAGCTTAGGGGAGTTGGTAGACCAGAGGTCCCTGAAGCTGGGTGCTGATGACACCCACCTACAGTGAGTAGGTCTGGGCAGTTGGTGCAGGGAGAGCCTTGCCCAAGAGGCTGGACTGTGTTACTAATTTTCTGTTGACCTTGGGCAAGTCCCTGTTTTGAGCCTCCACATCCTCACCTGCAAAGTTTTGTGCCCTACCTATCTCATGTGCCAGGGGCAGGCACATGTGCGGGTAGAGCAAATGAACTTCCGCACCTGGTCTGTGAAATTCTGGGACCTGTAATGATGCAATAGCAAGTAATTGTTGAGCACTCTTTACGTGCTAACTTCCCTCAAACCACCAGATATATTGCCCTCAGTCTGTAAGTGAGGAAATAGATTCAGAGGGGTTGAGAGCCTAATAACACCCAGGTAATCAAACGTTGGAGCCAGATTCCAATCCATGTGCTTAGTGGACTTTGGGTTATACTGCAAAGTGCTATGCTGTATCTTCCTGGCTGCTCTGTCTAATGTGTCCTTTGTCTCCAGAAAGCTATCTCTGTCCTGGAGATGGAGAATGGCTATTGGTGGTGCAGGAGGAAGAAGCAGAGGGCAGGTGCGATGCTGACAGTTGGTACCAGGCCAGATGGTAGCCCTGATGAGCGTTGGTGCTTCAGGTGAGTGAGGGGCAGGGGAAGGCAGCTGGTGCAGGCCAGCCTTACTCCCCTGAAAACCAGGAGACAGCTGCTAGGATCCAGGGCAGGTGAGGTCAGGAAAGCTTGATCTCATAGAGCCGAAGGTCACTCTCTGGTGGTCCCTGACTTCCTCCTTATGGCCTGAAATGGGGTGCAGTTAGGAGGCCAAGAAGCTAGAGAGACCCTCAGGTTACAGCACACTAGCTTTGCCCTGGTGGTCCTCTGCTCTCCCAGCTCCCTCACTTGATCACAGAGGCTACAACCCTTCTACAGAGAACAAATGGCTCCATGCCCAGGGAAGGCCTGGGCACTGAGAGAGGAAACCTGGTGACAGATGCACAGCCAGAAACACCTTTTCATGAGACAACAGTTAAGCAAGGAGAAGGGAGGGTCTTAGGCATGTAGAGTAGCCACACACAGGGCCCCAGAACGTGGGAACACAAAGACATACCTGATCTAAACTCTTCTCTGGGTATTCAGGGAACCCAGGTCACTGTGAGCAGTCTGAAGGGACAGATGCCTGTTCTTCCATGTGGGCACCTGGCCCGGAGGGCAGTAGGCTGACAGCTGCAAGGACAGGGCTCTGGGAGAATAGTGGGTGGTCTTGTGTCCTGTGGAGAAGGGCGGAGAAACCCTATCCTCCTTGCAGTCCCTTTGTCCAATGGAATGTCTGCTCCATCCGCCCACTCAGGGGCCCCTCCCCTGGGGCAAAGCAGGCTGCATCCTTGATATCCTGCAGCCTCAGAGCTGCTCTGTCACCCTCAGGGTGGAGGAAGTGAACTGGGCTTCCTGGGAGCAGACCCTGCCTACACTGCGTGAGGATCCTTCAGGACCTGGCGACCATGGTGAGTAGCTGTCTCGAGAGGCGGTGTGTGTGTGTGTGTGTGTGTGTGTGCTGTGCGTGCATGCGTGTGTGTTCTTGTGTGTGTTCATGTGTATGCGTCTGCTTGGCCACACAGCCATGAAGAGTCTGGAGCAGGACCACTCCTGTGGTCACTCCCCAACTCCACTCATTTAAAAGGATTGCCCTGCTTAAAGTGGTGCTTCCCTCCTGTGCTTTCCACCCTCGCCTCTTAGCAGGCCTGTTTTTAGGCAGTCACCTGGGAAAACCTCTGAGGCTGTTAGTGCTTTTATCAGCCCAGCCTTCACCTTGTCCTCACCTCCTGCCTCCTCATCTCCATTCCCTCCTCCTGGCAGGTTCCAATCCACTGCACCCTAGGCTAAGCCTGAAGACCCAGCAGGGGAACAAGTTAGGGAGGGCCCCCTACACAGCCCATAGCTTAAGGTAGCACCTCCCTGAGCCCCCACTGGCTGAGCCCTGCTGACCTGAGCACCCAAGCTTTCCCTCACTACACAAGCCCCCAGCCCCTTCCTACCTCCAGCCCCACACCTCTGAGAAGCCACTTCCTACCTATGCCTTTTCCACCTCTCATGACCTGCATCCTCTCCATTCTAGTGTGACCTAGTGTGGCGATGGCACCTCCTGTTCCCACCCTTCTGCTTCCCACCAAAAGCGACTCTTTCCTCCCAACCAGAAGCCTGTTCTGAGGATTAGCATTCTTCACAGAATTCTATTTCTATAACCTTCAATAGTTCCTACCTCGTCTTCCATTAGCTTTCTTCCTCTCCTTTCCTATTCTTTTTCTGACAGACTCTACTTGCTTGTGCATGTGGACCCAACCCCTCCCACAACGGCCTCCTGCATCACCCATGACTGCTGGATAGGGGGACTCTCCTGGCCTCCTGCTCCAAAGACTACTGGTTTCCCAGGCTCCTGGGTCCCTGACCAAGACCCTCACAAACTGATATGTTTCCTGCCTACCCTCTTTTTGGGTCTCCCTTAATTTCAAGTCTCACTGCCCCATCATTTCACTGCCAAGACTCTGAAAGTGACCTTGCTCCTCAACTTGCCCCAAGCATCCCACACCCCCCTGCCTCTGTTATGGCGCCAACGATTCAAGACCCATGGAGCCAATTGAGATTAATTATGAGCCTTTATTAGCCGGCCGGCGACTGACTCTCTACCACGCAGGGTTAGAGGAGAGCAGCCCCGAGCTTCCTGAGGAGGCAGCTTATAAAGCCTCCTACTACATCCTTGAATAAGCAGATTACAAGAAGCAGAAGTTAGCCATTAACATTTTGTACAAAGATAAATGTATCCGGGGAACTCTCAGATCAAACAGGGCCTAGTAGACAGTTTTATCATCTGCACCTTAGAATGTTGGGCTTCTCCTGAGGCTGGCGCCTGGAGATATCACCTCCCTGAAACTGGAGAATTTCCACTTTTACACCTCCTGGGGTCTCCAACTGGACATCCCCATCAGGAACAGCCTTGGGGCTGCCCTACTAGATCACATGTATGCAACCCCACCCGCTCCTCACCCAGGTGGGAGGTTTTGAGGTTTTCTGCCCTCCCATGCTCCATCTGGTGCTGAGTGTCCTCTGGACCCCCGAGCAGCCACTTACCCCTCTGCCCCCGCCCCTCATTTCTCCCAATTCTGTACCACTACAGGGCAGCTCAGCTTGCACCCTGACCTCCAGACAAGTTTTTCTACTCTAGGTTAACCCACTCCAATTCTTCTATGTAGAAAAAACTATACACAGCCCACATTACAATATGCCTTCCACTGTCTGGAAGGCCACACTCTTCGGTGTGGAGGCCAAAGACCAAAACTGTTGCCCAACCCATTCCCTCCATGTGACAGCCAGTCTGTCTACAGTGCTCCTTGTTTTTTGCTTTCCTTGGCTCTTGCCTTTGCTGGAGGTGCCCTTCCTGCTCTTCTGAGTGTTCAAATCTGCCACCTCCCTATGGATTGGGTCCCCTCTCTCCTATGAGCTCTCTGAGCACCTAACCCTCACTTCCCTCAAGCTCTTCAGCAAGTCTCAGGTGTTCTGGTTTCTAACACACAGCCTATAACCTCCAGCGACTTTAAACTCCTGGGTGGAGGACCCTCACTGGCACACGGCAGAGGTTCAGGAAATGGTTGTGGAAAGAGAGGCTGAAAGGATTGCTGGGGACTTCAGGATCCCTTGCTATCCACAGGGCATGATCTGGTTTCATGGCTGTGGCCTCCTATTTCCCTAGCACTTGCTTCCTGGGGACATACCCCGAGGGCCAAGTCACAGTGATCTTCACTCCATTTACAGGCACCACGAAGAACTCTGCCTCGGCCTCCCAACCTGGGGAGGACAGTGCTCTGGAGGAAGACCATCTGCCCCTCCAGCTCTTGGAGTTCCGCTGATAACCCAGATGCAGCAGGAGGCAGGCAGGATAGAATCAGGGAATCTTTACAGCCCTATCTGCTGACCCTGGGGCCCCAGGGAACTTTGGTGGCAAATATAAATAAATATTTTCTCATGACTAACTCTCTTGGAAACATTATTTGAGTAAAGTTACCAGGCCCTTGTGCTGGTCGACATCTGCATGACATTGTGAGCACAAGCCTGTGTCTGGGGCTGGGCTGCTCACACCCTCACCTGGTGAGACTGGTGGGGGAAAGCAGGAGATTGTCACCTGCTTTCCCCCAGCTTTGAGACTTTCCTCTTCCTGGGTGCAGGTAGCTGGCTCCATTGTCATGGCAGACATGTGGTGGACATCGGTAAGCACAGCCACCTCTCCTCCCTCTTCCACAGCCTCCAGACACCCCTTAAAGCCACCTCCAAGATATCTCAAAGCCTTTGAGCTCCTTGGTTTAGTCCAAATTCTGGATTATTGCTTTCTCTTCCTGTTGGTCTTCTTGCTCAGTTCCCACCCTTGTAAGCCCTTCTCTGCAGGGCAGCCAGAGGAGTCTTCCTAAGACTCAAGAGAAACATGGTACCTCCGTGATCTGAAGGCTTGAGAGGCTCCTCAGTGCCCACAGGGTGCACTGGCTGACATCCTCTTAAGTTTTGCTCAAGCATTTCCAGACACTTGTCCCATACCCCTGCTGCCCTCCATGCTCTCTTTAGCACTTTCACTAAATTCTTCATGCAAGCTAATGGACCTCGTGCGTATCTGACTCCTTGACTTGGCTGTCGCTGGAAAGTCCTTCCCTCCAATAAGATCCTACACTTATTTCCAAGACCAGCTCAAAAATTGTCTCATTATATAGTACTCCAGTCAAAATGAATCGCTCTCCCTTGGGGAATGAGTTTTTATAAAATATGTGTATGGATTGCATATTTCTTAAGTGGGAAAGACCTGAGCATGTTCATATGGTGAAAGGAAAGCATTCGCAGAGAGGGAGAGGTTTCCATTGCTGGTGAGACGGGGCATGAATGGAGAAGCTTCGGAGAATCAGAAAATAGGGGAAGGGAGGATGTTTGCTCGCTGCTCAAAAATCATTCTAGAGGGAGATGAGAGCTGTCAGTGTGCAGGGGTTGAGAAGCTCCGTGGATACTGTGAAATAGTTGTGGGGAGAGCACACTAGCAACGCTTCTTAGAATTAGGAGTACCCACTATTTGTAAATTCTCGCTGCGTGCCGTGCCATGGCTCTGCAGGGTTTCAAGCGCGTTATCTCATGTGATCCTCAGAACAACCTTCTGCGGCGCCGATATCTCCATTTCTCAGAGACACCGGAACCTCAGAAAGGATGAGCAACTCGCCCAAGGTCACGCAGCTAACTAGCGGAAGGGCAGGGACCCTACCCGGCAACCCTCGGTCCAGCCCCTGCGCAGGCGCTCTGGACCGCGTTGCGTGCCTGTGGCCCAGATTTCCCGAGGCTGTGGAAGAAACCATTATCTCTACTGGAGGGGGGAGTCTTTGGGTGGTGCGGGGCCTGAATTGTTAAATGGGATGAAAGTCCCGTGAGTCTTTGCCAGTATCACCCTCCCTTCTGTGACAAGTGGAGTGTTCCGAATCCTTAAGAGCCTCGGAGATTGGGAGAGCTACCTTTTCACTAAAGCTGTCATGGAGGTAGGTAGCGTTTGCGTCTTCCACTGGTAGTTGATGGCAAGGACAGATGAGCGGATACCTTTCTAATTTTTGAAAGATGTTTTCGGGGAGCTTAACTGGAGGGCGGCTGCGCTCACGTAGGCTTCGGAGCGGGCGCTGTGGCTCGGTGTTAAACTGGCCGGGCCGCGCCGCTGGGGCCGCAGTGGGTCGAGGCTCATGGGCATCATACGTGTTTGTCCCGCAGGCCCGTCGCCCTATCCTGAGATCTGCGAAGGCCGAGACCCCTTTCCCTGGCCCTGCCGTAAGGAGTGAGCAAATCCGAGAGAAATGGGTAAGTTGGGGTCTTCTGTACCCAAGGACGCTACACGTGGGTGACGAGGAAAACTTACTTGACTGTCCTGATGATACTAATATTAGGAAGTGCCGTCAGATGCGATAACTGACGATTTTTATGCCTATCTGAGTGCAGTTGCTGAAACCTTGAAAGTTTAGTTGCATATAACTACTAGAATGTGTTCTAAATGCATGTCCGTCTGAGATATTTCAGGTGGCAGACATACTGCAGAATATCAAAGAATTGAGCAGCATTTCATCCTGAAGACAGTCCAGGTAGGGTTTAACACAATTTAGTCGCTTACTTTTAGCCTTTGTTATCTTAATGCCCCGAAATGCCTGATGTGCAGTTGTAATTATTATGTGTTTAACCTAATTATGCACGACCTCATTGCATAATTGCAATGGTTAGATGGCTGCCCCTAACCTGAAACTAAACGGCAGCCGTATGCATAAACTATTAAAATGTCTCTTGGCTATTTTTAGGGCAATGTTAGCTTAATTCCAGTTAAATTCTGGAGCAGTGAGGTCCTTGGCTGCGTCCTTGGCTGCTTTGATGAAATCATTAATAGGAAGTGCCGTCAGAAGCGACAACTGACGATAACAATTCCTGGCTGACTGCAGTCAAGTCTTCAGGTTGCTGGTGCCTGGGAATAAGATGCTCTGAAGTGTGACCCTTAGTTTCAATATTCACTCAGGTTGCACATTAGAGACTGGCAGTCCTTCAGCTGAGTATTGGAGCGAGGAGGAGCATTACCCTCCCGTGAGGTAAGCTTTTATTTGTGGAGAGATTAGTGGTCGAGTATGTTTAGCTTTTAAGTTGAATTATGTGAAATTGCTGTTATGTCAGATGTTGGCAGTGGAACAGTGCAGAGCAAACCCAGGAGTTCCTTTTTACTTTATGGCTGTATGATCCTGAGCAAATTGCCTATCTCTGAGATAATTTCCTCGTTCTTAAAAATGATGGCCTTAGGTTTGTAATGTTTAAAATACTGTGACTGGTCGTAAGACTTGAGAAGCCAATTAAGACTGATTTCTTAAGGACTATTGTTAAGATGGACTTAAAGTTGTAAATTTGTAGTTGAGGCTATGATCAGAACTGCCTCCAGTTCTTTCATCAGCATCTGCTGTCTAAGGGTGCTTTATTCATTCCCTCAGGTTTCAAGTGCTGAAGAAGGGCGATCAATGCTATCTTAAAGCTGTTCGTAGCAGCAGTGGCAGCAGCACCTCACCCTGAGAAGTGGTAAGATTTGATCTGGACAATGACCTGTCACTGTGGTAGAATGAATAAGCAGCTTATTTTGTTAAAATTGATATCAAATGATGAAATCACCCAAAATAGCTGGAATTACCGGCAGATTGTGTAGTGGTGAACCTACGGTTTTCTGAAGATATCTTTTATGCTGTCAATGACTTGTTTGGAGTAGAAAGTAAGACTGATATTTAGTTTCTTTGCAGGCTATTTTCCCAGGGGATGGTCATCCATGCTGTCGCAGGGGCAGAATTTGAAGTCCCAAGGACCAGCAGCCACCATCAATTTGGACTCTGAAAACCTAGGCTTCAACATTTGCTTAGAAATAGGCTCACCTTGTGCCATTCTTACCAACAGAGCCAAGAAATGGATTCGGTAACCTTTTTCTAAGACAGGCACTTTCAGTGCCATTAAATAAATGCATAATTTTTCTAGAACTGTCCCTTGCTCAAAAGGAGCTTCTGTACATTTTAATATTGTATAAATGTTATATTGAGCAAGGGTCTGAATTCTTTAAGTTGGAAACTTCCTCCTCAAATTAATATCCATGCAATTAACCATTAGCTAACATTGTAATAAAGGATGGTCTTTAGTACTGGTTCTTAAAAATGTATATTTGAAGAAAAAACTAAATTTAATCACTGCTGTCAAGTATTAGCCCAGGTGTTAGCATTTGTCAACTTCCCCTATTTTCCCCTCTTAACAACTTTAGACTTTGAGGGCAACTATCCAAAAACACTTGAGGCATCCATACACTTGAGTGTAGTCCTTGTTCCATCTGGGTTCTGTCCCTTTGCTTAGACTTCCTCTAATAACTCAAGCTCTACACCTTGCCTGGCCAAATCTTTAAGCAGTAGCAGGCAACATCCCAGTCTTGTTCTTAAGCTAGCTCCCATCTTACTGCCTTCCTGTGTTGGGATTTTGCCTGCTTGGTATGAAGCTAGAGGTTTTGTCAGGCTGCTTCCTTAGTGCCCTCTGATGTTTGCTTGGGGGGTTTAACTTCAGGCATCTGGAGTAATTTTCTCTGGCTCAAGATGGTTTCCCAGCTCCCTGGACTTACTATCTACATTTGGGTCTAGGGCTTATTGTGCCTAGAAGGGATTATTAACTGGTAGGTCTTGGGTAAGGGTAAAGGAGGGTAAGAACCTTTGCTTAACTCTTTGAACCTCTAGTCTTTCCCCTTCCCCCAGCTGTCTTGGAGGCACTAGATCTGCCAAGAATTTGCTCTTAATCTCATCCTAGTCCTGGCCTTCCAAAATAGGTTTTGGGAATGTTCTTAGAGTATCAAGGGTTATTTCAGGGACTCAGGAGGAATTTTATGGAGAAGAGGTCCTTAAAACCGGTTTTTAAAGGAAGCCTACACATTAGCAATACTGGAACCATGTTAAAGTCTGGTAGTGTTTTTGTTGGGGGGTGGAATATGGTGTGGGGTTTGCCTGTGCCTTTCTTTGCACACCTGTGGGCATCATCTGCCCAAACACCCTAGGATTCTCTATTGATTGGTATAGGGTGGTGGCTGGTTTCATGGACAGGATCCAGTTTGGGGAAGTGTGGAAAGACAATTACAAGGAGCCCCAGGGCTCCACATGAGGAGGTAGACAGCCTTTAGTACAGAGACTAGGCTCCTGGACTGGCAGCAGACTCCCTACCCCAGCCTCTTTGTTGTCAGGAGTTGGGATGCTAAGATTTCAGCCAGCTTTGAGCAGGGGCACAGAATTGGAAAGTCTGGATGTAGTGTCCCAACTACATTCCTTTTCTGGAGGAGAGTAACCACAGCTCAAGCTTACAGCATCCTCATCCCATATAGTGCACCTCGAAGTCTTGGGAGGCTGAGGGGAGACATCAGTCTCTTGATCCAGGGATATCTTCTCAGGAGCCAAAAGGCAGATAATGGGATTGACTAGGGGAGATGGAGAGGATGAGTGAGAAGTATTAACAGGACCCCCCTTTCCCAGATGCTACATTCAGGCTTCCGATGGGTGGGGCTGCCCAGGCCAGTATTGGATGATAGCCTCAGCCCCCTGGTAGGAGACCCTAGTCTGCCTCAAGCCATCCTACCTGACACAGACTCCCTGGTGAGCCCCCTGCCCCAACACTTGAGTGTCATGTCTGAGCTGCACCTGTAGTCTCCCTACCCTCCTGGTCTTCAGCAGGGGCCAGGGGGCCTCCTCTAGGGTCCTGGTCCACTGCCCCATCCCGGATCTCCTCCCCACCACCTGGGCCCTCGCCCAGCTCTAGGATGGTGGGTAGGTGGCCCTGCTTCGGAGAGCGCTTGCGCAGGCTGAGCAGGAAGGGCTGGGGCAATGAGAAGATGTCCACGTTGTTGCCCAGGTCAATCCACGTGACGTTGGGAAACTTGCTGGGGTCCTTAAGGGTGTCAGTGAGGTCCCGCAGCAGGGCTCGCGTCAGCCGGTTGCCATTGAGGGCCAGTGTGGTGAGGCGCGGCAGTGTACTGAGTGCTGGCAACAGCTGTAGGACCATGTCATCTGTGAGGCCTGTGAAGCCCAGCTCCACACTGTCCACCTGCTCCCCACATCGCTGCAGGTAGCTGCTCACCCGCTCCAGGTCACGGGAGGTCAGCGGGATGCCTGAGAGGTCCACCGTGTTGTCCAGAGGGCTCCCAGCAAGGACAGCCTTGAGGCTGAAGGGGAAAAGGGACAAGCAAGGTTCAAATGAATGGGGCAGGCCTTTTCCCTAGAGGCAGCAGTGATACCACTACAGAGCCTGCCTCTTCTCCAGGGATGGGAGGAAACAGACCCATGTCCCCTGGTACTAGCCCACATCTCAGCCTGGTTGGGCCCAGCTGATCAGAGCCTTGAGGGACCACAAGGGAAAAGCCCAAGTGTTTCTGTGGTGACTTGATAGATTTTGGGCCCACGATGCCTGGTTTGCATCTTAACTCCCTTCCTGCTCAGTGGCCATAAGTTCCTTAACCTCTCTGTGCCTAAATTATTTTCCTAAAAAAATGGAGCTAATTGAATCCTACAGGATTATGTGAAATAAGTTAATAAGTGCAAAGCATTTAAGACAGTGCCTTGTTTAGGTGAGTGGTGAATATTTGCTCCTGTTATTCATCACTTGGGCTGAATTTCCCTTAGAGTGGCACAAGATCTTTGAGGCTTCTGTTTTCAAGGCCATCTTTCCCACCAGATGGAGGATCCTTAAGGAGAACGCTGCTGGACAGCAGGCAGGGGAGGGTGCCGGGGCTCCAAAGCTGGTGTGAGCTGCTGACTACTGTAGGCTGAATGCCCTCCACTTTCTGCCTTCTGCCACTCCTTGTTCTTTCTTTCCCTGATCCTGGCTCCAGTCGTAGCACCCAGGAAGGAAAGGGAGGTGGGAAGAGGGTGGTAACAGCCTGCATACATTAATAGCAGCAGTCTGAGGATCACAGCTGGGATTTCCAGTAGGCAAAACCCCCATCCTGGGGAATCTCCTGAAGCTGGAAAGCTGCCCAGGTTTGCTCATTTTGCTCAGCTCCAGGGAATTTGAAGGTAAAGCTCTCAAGGCATGCCATCTAAGGTCTTGCTAGGAACACTGCCTGGCATTTGTTAGCATGATCTCAGTGTTGGCTGTAATTCTTACCAGTGTCATTAATAAAGCAGGCCTATTACGCCAGAGAAATAGGTAGTGTGGTGGTTAACAGCTTGGGCCTGGGGTTTAAAACCAGCTGGGTGATCAGGGCCAGAGAAGGGCCAACAGCCCATCACTCTGTGACCCCAAGCCACCTGAGGGGAAGGAAGCTTATGAATGAATTAATGGACTGAAGGAGAGAGGTGGTGTGTGTGTGTGGGGGGGCGGGGACAGAGAGAGAGAGAGAGAGAGTTTTTTAGAGAGAGAGAGAGAGAGAGAGACACGAGGCCCCTGGATTCCAGCAGGGCTCAAATTTTCAGCTTTTCAGTCTTAAAGAACTAGCCACAAAGTCTCCTTGTGGCATTCCAGGTTCCATGGGTCCTCCTTTCGGTTCTCTCCCCATATGTGGCCCCTGCCCTCAGCCCAGTGAAAATCTCACTTCCTCCACCTAGGAAGGCTTCCCCAGGATCC